GGCAAGCGCTCCTCAGGAGCATAATGCCCCCTTTGACTGAGCTGCTGGCTCATCCTCACCCAAGTGGCTCCAGCAGGCCCAGCAATGTTCTGGCCCCCAACTCGGAGCCCGCCAGAACCCCTCCAGCAGAGCGGGGCTGGGCGGCGGGGAGGGGCCCAGAACAAAGCCATTCACAGCGGGGACAATGGGCCAGTGTCAGGGGCAAGCGCTCCTCAGGAGCATAATGCCCCCTTTGACTGAGCTGCTGGCTCATCCTCACCCAAGTGGCTCCAGCAGGCCCAGCAATGTTCTGGCCCCCAACTCGGAGCCCGCCAGAACCCCTCCAGCAGAGCGGGGCTGGGCGGCGGGGAGGGGCCCAGAACAAAGCCATTCACAGCGGGGACAATGGGCCAGTGTCAGGGCCCAGCCCTTGTGTTTTCTCCGAAATGGAACAAAGGGGCCTTTGCCCCCAGCCGGCGGCATAGGCCTGGGGCTCGGGCATATTTCCAGCACCAAGGGGGGCATGCAGACTCTTGAGGGAGCCGTGTGCCTACTGCCCAGGGAGTCCGGGCTGGCTGCACCCATCCAGAGAAGTCAGAGTGATCGCGCTGCCTAGGGGCGCCTGCCAACGCCCCCAGCTGGCACTGCAGATGGAAACCCCTTTAGGTTCTCCGTGCTCAGTGCAGCACCAGACAGGCCCGGGGGGTGGATGCCCTTGTGGGTAATGCTCCAGCCTGGCTCCAGGCAGTGTGGGCTCTGGATGCAGCTCTGCCATTACCTGGCACTACCGGGCAAGCCACTGCACTGACTGTGTGAAGCAAAAAACCCAAGTCCCCAGCTGGGGTCAGCGCTTCACTAGGCTGGGAGGGAGAGAGAATTGTCCTTACTAGATAGGAGTCTCCACTGCCGGGCTTTTTTCCCCTTCCCCTCCCATGAAGATGTGGGCAGGGTGCCTAGGGGCCTCGCATGCCACGCAGAGGTGTGTGGAGCTGGCTCTGAACAGCTTCTGAGGCGGTACCGGGGTGGAATAACTCTCCAGCTTCCTCTCCCTGCAGTGCTGTCTCCAACCCTGGCCATCCACGTTTACACACACCGGGAGGTCCATGGCACGGTGGGATCCCAGGTCACCCTCTCCTGCAGCTTCTGGTCCAGCGAGTGGATCTCCGAAGAAGTCTCCATCACGTGGCTGTTCCAGCCAGAAACCGGCAAGGACACCACCTCAGTAAGCGGCCGTCAGCGGAGGCAGGGCCCCTCTGCCCTTCTGTCCCGTCCCCTAGGCTTGGCTCGCACCCTCATGGCGGTCTCGTCTCTCTCCTCAGATATTCCACTTTGTGAAGGGGCAGCCCTACGTCGATGAAGTGGGCACCTTCAAGAATCGCATGGAGTGGGTGGGGGACCCCCACCGCAAGGACGGCTCCATCGTCATCCACAACCTGGAGCACACCGACAACGGCACCTTCACCTGCGACGTCAAGAACCCGCCCGACATTGCTGGCAAGTCGTCTCAGGTCACCCTCTACGTCTTCGAGAAAGGTACGGCGGGGACGGGCTCCTGCTGACTTCCAGCCACCCCATCCACACCCTCCTCGCCTGCCCCTCGTTATGTGGGGTGCCCAGTGCCCACCCCCAGTCAGACCCACACCTGATCCAGCCATCAGACCCACATGTGGATCCATACATGGCCCTGTCCTGCCCCGAGACATGAACCCACCCTGGGCCTCAGACCCATACATGGCCCTGTCCTGCCCCAAGACATCAACCCACCCTGGGTCATAATGTCATGGTGATGGGCTTGGGGTCAGGCCCTACCAATGTGGGGGGATGGGAATGGTAGGCTGTGGCAGAAGAATGGAAATTCTGGAACATGAATTCTCGTGTTTAGCCCGTGCCAAGAATGGCCACAGGCCGCGCCCCAATTCCTCACCCCACCGCCAGCACTGCGGTTGCCTCAACACACCCTGGCAAGGAGTCCTGCAGCCAGTGGCCAATGCCAGTACCTGCTTGTCCACCGCCACCACTAGGGGCAACACTGAGACCCCCCCACATCACTCACCTGACACAGCCGTGACATGGGAACGCCCCCTCCCCCAAGCATTAAAATGTGGGGCTGAACTGGAGCTGTCTGACTTCCCCAGCTCTGAGTGAGAGCAGTGTTCGAATCCCAGTGTACACGTTCCAATCCCAGCTGTGGCACTGGCCTTGGGCATGCCCCCACCCCTTCTCCGTGCCTCAGTTTCCCCTCCCATCCATTGTCCATTCCGACTGCGAGTTGCCTGGAGGAGCCACCCACTCTGGCTGTGTGTCCATGCAGCAATCAACGTGGGTCTGGTCTCAGTTGGGTCATGCAGTGCTGTTGTAATACAGATGAGAAATGCTACTAAGGAACCCACCAAGCCCTTATGGGTTTCACAGTTTTTAAGGCCCGAGGGCACTATCTGGAGGCTGAGCCCAAGTGGGGCTTGTCCGTAGTTTGCGACAGAGTCCTAGGGCATACGCCTGGGTAACAGGGCCCTCTCCTCCTCAGTGCCCACCCAGTACGGTGTGGTCTTGGGGTCCATCATCGGAGGCGTGCTGGGACTGGTCATCCTCGTGGTGGTGCTAGCCTATCTCATCAGGTATTGCTGGCTAAGGAGGCAGGCAACGCTTCAGAGACAACTCAGGTAGGGCTGGCTCCAAGGGTGTGGGGGGGAGGGCATCGGGCTGGGGGTGGGTGCAGAGATCTCTCTGGGCTAGGGTGGAGAAGGACCGCGGTGAGAGAGGCATGTCGGGCTGGCATCCCTGAGGGACAGGGGGACGGCTCAGGTAGATGGTTGGCTCCCCAGCACCTGCTACCTGGAGATGAGTAATGGCGGGGCAGGCCAGTGGATGGATCGGGACCAGTGTTCCCTGTAAGCTGAGAGCTTGGCTGACTGCCCAGGAGAGATTCAAATGCTGCCTCGCTGATTAGCAGAGCACCCACAGCAGGCAGCAAGTGTTTATATTGGTGGTGCACTTCTGCACATGCCTGGGTGCTCATGACAAAATTTATTCCACATATAGATGGGGAAAAAATAGAGGAAACATTGGTCAGGACAATGCTCATTCTGCTGTTTGCACTGGCTCCGGCTGCCCTCTGCCCGTACCGCTCTTGCAGAAAAGGGGGTTTTTGCAGAAAAAGAAAACGTCCACACTGCTTGTTTTTGCGCAAAAACACCTAGTACAAAAACGGATCAGCAGAAAATATGCAAATGAGATCACGACTCATGCAAATGAGACCCTCATTAGCATATTTTTTGCAGAGAAAACTCGTAGTGTAGACATAGCCCTAATAGGTAAGAAAATCTGCCTCTTAGCAAGACTCTCAAGGAGCACAACCTATTTAGCTTAACAAAGAGAAGCTGAAGGGGTGATTTGATCACGGTCCATACACACGGTCCACGGTGTACCTACATGGGGGGACACATATTTAATAACAGGCCCTTCACTCTAGCAAAGGTCGAACACGGTCTTATGGCTGGAAGTTGAAGCTAGACAGTCAGACTAGAAACAAGGTGCAATTTTTTTACATTGAGGGTAATTAACCATTGGAAGAACTTTGCAAAGGCTGGGGGGGGGGGGGGGGGGG